GAGGGTACTAGAGAAGCTTTGGACTTAAAACACAGGGAAAACTGTGGTATGGAGCACTGAGAACCCTGCCAGGCTGGACAGAGGCCAAAGAAGCTTTGTGATTGGTTCAGTGTGTGCCAGAAAATTACCTGATCGCTGACATCAAGAGCATCAGGGAAGTACAAGCTAAGCATAAAGACCAGTTTTATAGATGTTTCACTGGGCCATTAAATCAATCCATCAAGCCATCTGCCTTTTTGCTAGAACTAAGCATGAGTCTAATCTCCCAGGCTGAACCACTGTCAGGAGTAGTTGTCTGCAGATGAGAGACACCTATGCAGCATGAAGCGGAGGTGAAATAAATAGCATAAGGACACATGATCAATTTTCTTCATTTTCCATATTCAGGAGTTCAGCTATCTAGTAAGCCAGCAGAATGCAAGTGTTCTCACTTACATGCTCAGAAAGGTCCACTATGGTAACAAAAGGAGTTGAGCTGATAGAGACCAGATGACTGCCCTGATGAACCTCACACAGATTTGCATCTCATCTGCTAAAATCTGCTCTCTTCTGTTCCAGCAGTCCCATTTTTTTATCATAATAAGTTGCATTTTGCTACAAAATTGCTATCAGCACCTGCCTTCCAACCTGCCATATGTTTAGTAAAATGCTGAATTACAGCTTTTGATGCTTTATTCAGTTTATTCCTTAGAGGTTGCTATGGGAAATAGCTCTCCTGAACCAGATTTGTACTTTAATTTGTAGCATTTTGCGGGTGACCTGTCCTAAATTTGAAATGTCCCTTGGCAGTTCACACTGCTCAGGATCCCTAGAACCTTCATCAGGATCAGTACTAAAGGAGTTTGAATCTTGGTTATAATAAGACATCAATGTCACTGAGTCAGTCAGATAATTGCAAGGTCCAGCTCCATTTCTATTATTCATTATGCTGCATTTACTAACACAACGGAGACACTTTGCAGAATCTCATCAAGGCAAATTGCTAAAGGATGTCCTGGTCTTAACAAGCCCCCATCCATATGACGAAAGGTAGAGGACAGCCGTAATGTATGCTCCCATACTGTCCTCCCTGAGGCTGCTGTAAGCTCTGTGGCTCTCAGGGTCATCTCCTCGGTCATCAGCCTCTGAAAATATTACCTCCAAATCCAGATCTGGCACAGAGAACAAGATTGACTGCTGACAGCATGACTTCAACTGGACAAAACTTGTTCCAGCCCATCAGACTTCTGAGTGTATCAGCTTTAGCTTCGCAGATAAAAAGTCAACAAAAGGATTATTCCGTAAAAATCCAGGGATTTTACTGGATCTCTGTGGGTGTGAAAATTCTCATTTCAAAAACCAAGCACGTCTTTGATAAGAGTCTTTGGCGACTGGCTTCCCTGTTGAGACAGCCTGGTTTAAGCTCATCAAGGCTGTGCTGCGTCAATGTCATATTGTTGTATCAATGTTAACCACAAAGGAGAAAAGATCATTGTCTTTATTCATAATTTTTAATTTTTCTAATCCCTTGGTATGAATAGCGCAACCTCAGTGGAGTAGGATTTTTCTTACAAGATAAATGCCAAAGCTTGAAAGTGTGTTGAGCAGCTCTAGATTAATGGCAGGAGATGGATACAAGGTTTAAATCACCTGATAAATACTTAGTCATTTTCTTACCATTTAGCTAGCTATTTTTTCAGCAGTATCCTGTGGTCTGGTTCAAGTACTTCTCTCTATGTCTATTCAATTCAGAACTGCCTGTTTTAAGCTGATTTTTCTTATTCCTAGCTAGGAGCTCTCTGCTGTCTAATAGACATATGGTTTCTACTTTCTCCCTGTTGGGAATTGCTGCTCACTGCGCATTTTCACTGTCAGCTGGACACCAGTATGGGCTGCCTCTGTGTTGCCTTTGTTTACAGAGAAAAGTATAATTAGCAAAAGGGATATAACTAGATGCATACATCAACTACGACAGATACAAACGGAAGAAATACCCAGCAAAAACAGGAGAATGTTTTAGCATAGTGCAGTCCTGCACAAGTGGAAGCAAATTTGAAAAGCCTGGAGGAAAGGAAAAATATTGAGCAGAACTTGGGCACAGGAGATGCTTCTGCATGCTCCAAACAAGGGACTTCAGAGTCTGTTTACAGCTGGAGTATATGTGTGTTTGTGTGGTGGCTAAATGCATCAAGTGGAACAAAATCAAGTCAGTAAACCTCAATGATTTGCTCTCACATGGAATATAAAACAGCAAGTGCACCATAACAAGTTTTTCTCAGGGGGCAGGGCGGTCTGCCACTTTGCTGCTTTGTTGGTCTTGTTATTATTATTATGGTTGTTGTCATTATTATTATTATTATTAATAATGATAATTTTCAGCTTGCTGATACTGTCTTTCCCATGTGACAGCTGAGAGGCCCTTGGGGCAGCAAATCAGCATATCCATCGCACAGTAAGGCACAGGGCTAATTACACCCCAGTCCTGCCTCAGGAGGGACGTGCTGACCCATAGTGTGGGGCAGTGCTGACCCTCTGCACCTCCCGCCATTAGGCAGACCCTAGCAAGAGCAGGCTCTGGCAACCCCCATGGGTTTTGACTCAGCCTGGCTGGGAAGCGATGGCTCTGCCTATGCTGGCGTGGGATGCCACAAGGTTCCCCAGGGAACGCTTGTGCCAAGTGACGTAGGTCCTGCATGGGAAGTGCTTCCCGAAACCTAGGGTGAATCCCCAGAAGGTTGTGCCCAGCCCAGCTAGTGACACCTCCCTAACCAGACTGTGACAGGTGTGGGAGCAGAGGGGCAGGATGGTGACACAGCTCTCATGGGGGGAACACCACATGCTGCAATTTAGAATCACATGTTGCAATAGTTAAAAAAAAAAATAAATGTATAATTGTAGTGATTTGCTGCCCTCTGGCAGGGTTTTCTTAGAGCTCTTAATTCTCTGTGAACTGAGAGAGCAGCGCTCAGTGATGATGTTCCAGCACAACAAGGTCTCTGCATTTCCCAGCTGGTTGCTGGCAAAGCAGAGAAAATCATCAGGCAGCACAGCCTCCTTACATCCCTCCTGGAAAGCCAGAAGCACATGATGATCCCAGGCAGGGGCTGATGTAAGAGACAGAGATGCTGAGCTTGTTGGAACACCCTGTCCCTTCCCTGCACCCCTCTGGGTTGGTGGGGCAGCAAGCCTGACTCTGTAAAGCAGGTCGTTTGGGTACACAGAATCACAGAATGATAGATTGTTTCCTCACAAGAGCAAGCCCAACTTCTTCCAGCTTTGGATATACAGCCTTCTATTCAGTTTGGCCTCTAATGCTAACAAGCCCTGAGCGGCTTTGCTGAGTTTGGTTTCTGGTATGGTATACGCTTTCTGAGAAATACTCAGCAAATCAGGCTAATTTTCATTAGCATAATTTTCTAAAAGGCCCATTAATGACAATATAGTACTTGTGGATATGTGGTTAATGGTTTTGAAAACCTAGGCTTCCTCTTCACTAAAAGCAAAGGTTTTGAATCTCATGGTGTGAAACTTCTCTGATGACATGTTGAGGTCTGCAGTGTCTACACTGTACTGCATTGGTCCTACAGACTGCTTGCCCAGTTGGCAGGAGGAACAGGAACATCTTGAATACTTTGGAGCACTCTGATGCCTCAAACTGTCAGATGACTGTACCCTAAAAGTGTAAATGGCTTATTAAGAGTATTTAAGTTGGCTACCTTGGACGTTGATGTTTTTTCTACAGGTACCTGACATTAGGTCATATTGTTTTACCCTAAAATAGCAAAGAACTGGGGGAGTGGGAAGATCCATAAAAGCACCTCAGGTGCATAGATGTTCCTGATTGTTTTTCTGCTTTGAGAAAAGAAAGGATAACATAGATGCACTATTCTCATTAATAGTCTGGCTGCCCATATGACACCTATGATCCTCAACTGAGGAAGAAGAACAACGACGACTCAAATACAAATGCTTGATCTTGCTGATGGCTGATTGTACAGCTGTGTGGAATTTCCACAGGGTTTTGGACACAGGGGAAGCCTGGAGTTGGAGGATAGATAAAACTCTCTCTCTCTCTTGCATGTAATATAAACATGTAGGTTTTGCTGTATATCTAGTTTATTTTCTGCTTAATATACACGTAATTGGCAGGGATGTTGAGACTAATGATTCTGCTCATAGCAGCGGCCACAGGCCATTACATCAAAATCCAGGTTGCACAATGCAGTGCTGTGTAGAGCTATCGGAGCTCATCTGGAAGACACTAGCTCCATCTGATAGTGCAGCCAGGCTAGTAAATAGCTCAGAGCAAGTTTTCATGGATCTGATTTATTACTGTCAGGGGTTTGAACTTGTATCCCTTTATGGTACTGCACAATGATGATGAAATATGTGTGCTTGTTTAGAGCTATTTGGAATATCTCTGGCTGACACCTGGCTGACAGGTCAAGGATGTTCATGAAACTCTGAAGATAGTGATAAAAGCCAAGGTTTGATTTTATTGTTACCTTTGTTATTACTGAGAAAGCTTGAAGAATGAGTAAACCATTTCTTTATCAACCTTTCCGAATGCAACAGCCACAGCCACTATGACACCCTGGGGCCCACTGAAGTGATAGCAACATCCTCAGTGGTTCCAGTAAGGCCTGGATTGATGAGATAAGCAACTGTGGTTATGCTGACTTCCACAGACTTTACTGATTTACTTCAGCTGGAAATCTTCCCCCTTTCTTTGGGATAGATTGTGCTTCTTTGCTTCTTCAGTGTTAGCATAACAGATACCTTAGAAATGGCCAATACCAATTCATATAGCTGTATGTGGAATGAGTACTAATGCCTCTAATTGTTATGTTCTACAGACAAACTGGGACATCTGCCTAATGTTGTCTCCTAAGTCATGAAAGTACTATCTGAAAATGGGACACTGTTACTCATAGTTCACCTCTGAGCCCATGACACGGCTGTGCATAGCAGTCATCTGCACTTGCCTTGCTACAAAGCCAGTCTGACCACCGGCTTGGGAGAAGAAGCCTTTCACAGCTTCCTGGAATGACTGACAGACCTATGCTCCCTAACGTACCATGCTGTATTGAAACTGAGAATGTTCCATATGATTGGAAGCCCATTTGCTAAAGCAAGAGACCAGAATGTGACCATGTCTTATTTTAATAGACTCAGCTATTATCCTTGGTACATATCACAGGCAGTCCCCATTAATGGTGGCCTATCCTAGAACTTCAGTTTGCAAACTCATCTGGAAAAAAAGTCTGTGACGCTATTACATCCCAGCTGAGGACTTCAGTGGATTAGCTGTCATAGACTGAGAGCACTGGAGACTGCAGTGGGCTCACAACTGGAATATAAAAGAAGTCTACAGAAGAAAGCCCAGGAAACTCATAAAAAAAATGGAAGGGAATATTTCAGCAAATGGTGTCGAACATTTAGCTGCAGTTTCCTCTGACAAAAAAGTGCAAAAGCTGTTATGAAGGAAACAATTCCATTAGGAATGAAAAGCAGATCAAAAGGCCTGTCGTGATACGATTTATACCCTGACTGTCAAAGTTAAAATTTCCATGATCAGAACTACACTGATTCCTGTCCAAAGAATGAAGTTTTGAGGAACAATGAACTTTCCTGGCTCTGGGATAGCAGTGCAGCCCTGTATCCTTCCATTGGTATTAAGAAACCTGCTGGAAACAGTCAAAAGTATTTAGTACTTTTCTCAGTTTAGGTTCAGTAATTCCATGAGAATTTCCTCTGTGACATCCCAAGACCATTCTTTGCCCATATTTGTGTATGCTTGACTTGGTTATAGAGATGAACTTTTATTATTTCTTTCTATGGCAAGCATTTTTTGCTGGAACAACGTGGGCTGCATTTATGCTTTAACCATTCTTGCAGATGGTGCATCAGGATGGAAAACCTCCTACTTGGGCCAGCTCTGCTGGTTCATGCTAATTGTCCACATGCTTTAGAGAGCTCAGTGTTCTCAAGAAAAAATTGCAGCCTCAAATACTTATTTTTTTGCTTTAATTTGTCACTAAGCTATACTCAAATATGCATTTGAATGGATTAAAAGGATTTCAGCAATTTGATAGAGTATGTAGGAGGCAGCTAATACATTGATCCTCCCTGATGTACTTCTGCTCAGGTACGCAATCACTAACTAATCCCTAGATAGCTGCCCATTTTATAGAAGGTAAACTGAGGCAGTAACTTGCTCAGTGTTACATCAGAATGGGAAATTGAAACCGACAGTCTTTCTGCATGCCTCCAACTCAAAACCATTTAATTTAGTCCCAGATCGACCTTAGAGCAGGCACATGGTGCACCAGAACCAAGGGGTACTGCTCACATCAGCTGAACACACACACAAGTATTTTCAAGGTAAGTGCCTTACCCTAGTCCTTCTTTATGTGATTCTGGACATCCTCCCAGAAACTGGATGAAGACAGAAGGTTTCCTCTGAAAAAGCAGCATAACCTATCTGTCACAGCCCTGGTTTCGTTGTCCCCTGTAGACAGTAACTGCACTACCAGCAGGTCTCGATTTCTGAGTTTCAGAGTTTAGCAAGTGACCTGTACTCACTTTTTAAAGGCTATGGTCAGTCTTTCAGACCAGGTACAGAGTCTGAAGCTGGCGGCTCTTTTGAGAAAGAGCATTAGCTCCCTCTCCGATCAGGCCCCACTACTCCCCTAGCACTGCCATCACCCATTACACTCCCCAGTAAGGGACTGCCCTTCTTTCCATCTTGAAGGCAAAGGTCTGTTCTTAGGCATTAAAGAAGGTGCAGACACCTGCTTTAGTGGTTTATCCAGCTTGCCATTCTTTAGCTTTTCAAGAAGAGAATAGACAGACATCAATAACTGCTGCAGGCTGGTGTGCATCCCCTTTGCCACTTTATTACCAGTTTCTGTCTCTTTTCCCCTTCAGGCAACTAATGCCTGTGAAGTTTTTCCACTTTGGTTCTTGATGTGTTGTGGCCCTCAATCTCCCTTAAATCAATAATAATGTCTAGGGAGTCACTTTGTATCAGTGCTCTTTTATTTTCAGGGCTTTCAACGTAGTAATTCACTTGTTGCTGATCATTAATCACTGCTAAAATTAAGGATAAACATTCAAGCACCAAATACCCTTTCCTTACAGCCTTTGATATGACGAAAAGGTTAAGTGAAAGACATCTCTCTCAAGCAAACCTAGAAAAAGCACAAAAATTGAAACCGAATTTCTTAAGATTCAACAAGTGTTGCATTTTCCCTTTCATCTAAGATTGTACAATGCAAATATTCTCTCTCATATAGTGCATGCCTATTTGCAGTCACTTTGTCTAATGTTCTTGTAAGAAGCTGAGTGAGCTCCTAGGGAAAGCAGTAACAGCAATGCATATCTTAGGAATCACAGCTCTCAAATTGGAGAGGGACTAGAAAACAGCAGACTGCTGACTATAAAATAGCAAAAACAGATCTGAGGGAATGCTCTGGGGAACTCTCATGTTAAAAATCCTGCTTTAATGAAAATATTTTTGGTTTTTCTAGTAATTGATGAGATATCAAATAATTATAAATTTTGCACTAAATTAAAGTGCATTTTTACCTAGTGTTTGTTCACTTGCTTATTACCAACATCTCAGCCAGTACCTAAGTTTGTAAATTATGTTGAATAATCTTTGTATGCTAGACAGCAAACCTTTAGCCACAATAAAACGTGTCTCATAGGGACCAGAATGAAAAGAAAATGTAGTCTACGCAACAGCCACATAACAAACCACTGAATTACTTTAGAAAACCTGTGAAATGCTGAATTAGCCTGACAGTGATGTCTTTACTCTTTTCACTGTAGAAAGATCTCATTAACATAAGAGTGCCCTGGGAACTGCAGGCATTGTTATTTGGCAAGATATGAATCTAACTTTCTTAGAGGTAAGTCTGTGCCTGATTTAAATGAAATGTGTAAGATCTTTATTTTGTCCTATTAATAGACACTGCCTGATTGCACCAGTTCTGA